GGTTTTGATACACATTGATATTGATATACATTGATATGCGTTGATACTAGCAGTGAGAGCATTGATATGCAAATAAAGGAAAGTTCGGAAGCGGCACAGACACAAACATATGCCGGTATTATGACAAATTTACTACCTTACGGTTATGTGCTGACTTAGTGAACTCGTGCAATGGACTCGTCATAACAAGAGAACCATAAAGTGAAACGAAAATAGAAATTTAGTATCGCACTGTCTTCACTGAAGTCATTTCATTGAAATGTAATATTGGGGCTAGATGGAAGATTTTATGTAGATGACTACCGTCCAATCATATAGATATGAACTTGCAACTCACGACCAAAGGATTGGGCACTAACAACGAGTATCGAGTTGCGCCTAAAACAGCCTTTACTCAAACGGCCCCACCAAATCATCATAGAGCAGTCTCCAGTCAACTATTTGCCTTTGTTTTTCCGGAAAACGGCACTCAATGAATTGACATGGCACAATATCATGATAATTAAACCAGTCGGTTGCCTACCACTTCAAACCTACTGTTACGCTGCACTTCCACGAAACTTTTCAGGTTCGCACTTCATGATGAAAAGAATGGAACTTTCCAACCATTTTCGTTCCACCCCATTGATTAACTCCCAGGATATTCGATTTACGCACAATTTCCCTCGCCTCGAGACGTATTTTAAATATCTACTTTTTGTGATTGGACCTATCCGATGTATACTGTGCACAGAAGAATGATGGCGAGAAACAGCAAATAAGCTGTCAAAAATTTTAAAAAGCTACGACAAATGCTGATCTATCTTTTCAATGTTTTCTTGTAATGAGGAAATGATTCCGCCTTTAGCATCTTGGAAATGTGGGTTGAATGCTCCGCTTTCCAGACAATTGTTGTTCTCATCGAAGCAATTTGCCAAACACAATATTTGGAAGTTTATTTGATGTCAAATTTAATTCTCTGGCCATAACTCACTGCACACCGATGTCTCCTGTTAAGAACACAAGAGATGAGCATCAGGTTGTCCAACAAGGCACATTAGAATGTTGCAAGCACCTCTTCTTATTGTGACTCATCTGCATTCTCACAGCTTGGGCGTTTCTCGTAACTCAAGGGATTTGTCATTCGCATCCCCTGGTATCAACAATATCTTTCATCGTAATAATGCTGTATGCTCTGCAACCTTCATCGGTATTACCAACGCGATTGAGGGCATTAAAACAGGTCATTTCTGTAAGTTGGCCGCACTTCTTGAGGTTTTAGCCTGGTAACACGGACATGTTAGTGTTATTTCGACAGAGAATCATCACGAAATCAAGTCTATGTTTAGTTACAATCATGTCTCAGCAGTCAGCTTTAGGGCAATATCAAATTTTTCTTGAAAAAAGCATAACAAAGACAGTTTTGTTATATGCAGTGCAGAAGAGATCAACTAGAAGATAACTGGTACCGCATTCAATGTCAATCGTAGGGCAATGTTTAATCTTCCTTGATACAATAAGCATACTTTCGCGCACACCATACAGCCAGCGATATGAGTTTCACACGCGCGCTAAACAAACTTTGTGGAAATTCAGATTACGCAATAGCGTCAAATAACTGGCTACATAGCGCGCTGTTGCTAACTGGACATTGAAGTTAGACATTGTGCAGTAATGATGCGATCACAATGGAGGTTATGGGCTTGAAATGAATAGAACTGAGATCACCAAAGGACAAAAACGGCTCGCTTTGAAACAACTGAAAATTTCATTCGTTACGTTGGTCCTCCGTGAGCCGAGGCACCGATTCGTCCGAAGACTGCCGTGCTGCAGTTAACAGAGAAAAATTCTAGCGGGCTAAATTTCACACAGAAAACCCCGGAATCTCATCCAGCCAGGATAAATGGCAAACTGTTGTTCTATCAAAGATGCCTGGAAAATGGATAGTGGCCAAAACAATCTGCAATAACAAATGAAATGGAAGTACGAACAAAAATGACCGCCAGTCTCCTCGCAGAGTGTAACACTGACGGACTGGTACTCAAAAGGACGGAAGCACCAAGCTGGAACATCTTGGACGGTGAGCTACAAGAAACGTGAAGGTTTGTCGCAACAAATAATCACACTAGAAGCACGATGGGCATCAAAATTTAGATTCGAGATCCCATTAATTACGAAAAAGTTTTAGTCAATTACCGCTGATTCAAGACGGTTGCTTGTTGACTACTAGAAGTATTTCGCGGCTGTGACAAAAGGTGCAAACAGCTACTGCGAGTGTTCAGCGAATGTTTTCACAGCTGTGAGAAGATTCGATTTATGTCGCTCAGATTCGATATACAGATGTTCAACAATAAGAAACAAATTTTCAGCGCATAGTCCGAATTTTTATACACAGTACCGCGTGCTCCTGATATAAACAAGATATACGCGAAAGTAAACAACATTATGCAAAAATATAATATATATCAACTGAAATATATTTCTAAAACCACAAATCAACAGTTCAACATAAACTGAAGCCAAGAAATATGTTACAACAGCGCAAGTGAAATGAACAGTTGAAAACGTTACACGTATCAATAAAAAGTGACGTTTGCCTTGGAAATGTTGCACAACGCGAAGAACTGTTCAGTGGTACCGCAGTGTCGAAGAAATATATCATGAACCAATTGAGCAATAGTTAACTTGACAAGTGGGTGGTATTCCCGGTATAACAAGATCCAGTAGCCTAAAAACAAAAACAACCGTGCAGACGAGGAAGAGTCGCTTACGGCAGATTGAAGTAAACACCTACCGAAACAGAGACGGACGACAGAAGACGCATGGGATCCATGTGGGCGGCAACTGCGGCGTTGGCGAGTTCATGAACACCGACGTGGCCTGACATTTTGCAGTCGTTTTCGGACAGCTTTTGCTCCTCACGGCGTTTCAGATGCGCGCTTTTCGGATTCAGGTTTCTCTCCCGCACCTATGAGCAACAAATAACGCGCCTTGAAAAAAAATCATACGAAAAAGCCATACTTGTTGCTCCAACGACGTAATAACCGAAACGGCACGGTGTAAGATTCCGAGTTTGGTCTGCATTTTTTCCGCATTCACGTGCATGGAACACATGCGGCCGAGTTCTTTGAACGCCTCGTTTATGTCTCTTACGCGAATCCTACGACACGACACAGCTGTGTAAAAACGAAGAAAACATCAAAAGCTACTGTCTATTGATTTATTTCCTTCCAAAAAATAATTTTTTTGACAAACGAAACAAGCTCATCAACTTACACTAACTGATCAGAATGGCGTCATTAATGAAGCAACATAGCTACATCGTTAACGGAGAGCTTTCAGTGAATTCGCACATCGCCGAAAAACAGTCTGACATGTGGCACAGCCGTGAACAGAAATTCCTGCCTACAATGACCCCTCAGTGCCAGTCGTTAGCACATAAGTAAGCTAAAACCGCAAAACTCCACAGTTCATCGATGCAACGGTGTTGCTGCTGCCGCCTTTTCATTGGATTCAAAGCTGTCAGAGAGCCCTACATCGATTAAAAGAGAATGCTGCTAAATCAAGGCACTAATCAAACATAAAACAGCGGTGGTGCCGACTTAGCGGCCAATGAAGTAGGCGGCAAGACCGTCTGATCACCCCGTTTACCTGCGGTTTTGTACACATTTGCCTTCCTCGTAAACTCATAATTAGGCGTTTTATCAAGCGATTTGCTGGAAACAGATACACGATCTCTAAGCAAGCATATGTTTTAATACCAATTATTAACATGAATAAATGGCCACGACAACACCACTTTCGGATATAGATTTACCACTCGAAAAAACATCTCACCCTTCTAGGATAATAATAACCTGCAATTCGATCGACAACCATCTGGACTGGCAGCCTGGCACCTCCACTGTAAATGCAGAAAACCCCCCCACTCACTCCCCCCGTTTAATTGGATACTTTGTAACTGGAAGAGTTAAAACCAGTAATGAACTGCATGCGTAAGTTAAGCATAGCTTGGCTAGCAACCAAACAATCTCCGACAATCAGTGCAGAGGCGTTGTTTGTACCGCCGACTAGTGAAAAATCAACGAACATCATAGTCTATTCAACTTGAACAGAACTGGAACTGTTCGGAAAATCAGAACGACCAACGCCGCCGCATAGTCCATCAGAAAACAAGTAAATCTAATTACGGATAAGATGAATTAACTCAAAGACTAAATTTAATTTTAGAGATAAGGTGTTTAATGGTTTTATTAGATAATATTCTGCTGTTGAATAAAACTGAAATTAACACGTAAAAAAATTATTTCCGGTAATTATTAAATAACTGACTGTCCACTGAAAGCCGTCAAACGGTGAATTCAATCAGTACTCAATCAAGTCTGGCCATATTTCAGATAGTTAACACTGGCTTTAACTCAAGACTGCCAGAAAAATATCCACTAACATAAATGTGGCATTCTAATGGAGTTCTATACATGATGGAAAAGCGGTGAGAATCATAAGGCTTTTCTGTAAGCAAAAGCTACAAAATCTTATTCAACATAGAGTTTACATTATTTTAAACAAGATTCCCTCAAGATATCTTTATTCTACTGGACACAATTAACACTGGTTTATTTGCCGATGTTAAACGCTGCTGTAGCGTCGCAGACTTAGCAGTTTTAGCTAATCAATAATTAATTAACTGATTCGTGCAACTTTTAAACAAGCGGAAACTTATCGCTGAAGCAGACTTGCTAGTGAAGAGAAATATCACTCTTGCTGCAGCAGTGAACTCTGGTCATATATCGATTCGAAATACCATTCCTAACGGTTAGGCAATATAAATCTGGATTAATCCGCTGTTTAAGCTCTGTCAATCACAGAGAACTACGACAAAACAACATAACAGAACATAAAAGAAAGAATATGCTGGCAGTTCTGAAACCGATAATCAATCTTTAGGCACCGAGGCACCAGTTTCCAGAAGTAGATCCTTTTATAAGCGCCCGTATTTGAGGATGTTCTTTGTGATTCAGCGTAAGCAACCTAATCGCAGTAGAGAGAGGGCAACGACCGAAGTACAGGATTGTATGGAGACCGAATAGCCGTGATGACCTGTAATTAAGCACAAAACGCTCGACTAATGAAGCGTTGCTAGTTACATGCGATAAAGTTCCTTAAACTGCTTAAGACGGTTTGAGAGAAAGACACTCCGACCATAAGTCCGGACTGAAGGTCTGAGGGCCTCCGTGTATAATAATCATGCCATCTACCCTACTACCGCAGAATGGCTATTCATATGTTAAAACAACGGATGGCCAGGACAATACTTTATGACACGAAAACTTCCATTCCCTGGGCAGCTTGGATGGTAAAAACTTGAAAATTATGCCGAGAAGTCATAACCTGGTACAACCATTAACTATTGCAGTAAGAAACATCGTTGCAACGAACTGAAAAAGCCCGGAGAAGAGACGCTAGCAATCTTAAAGTCTAGCTCACTTCCATGTTAAAGTATAACAGCAATTAATTAATGCGAA